AAAATTAAAAATTATATTAAAAAATCAACACAAAAATATGGATTTATCGTTTCTTAAGGAATACAAAAATAAAATTTTAAGAAAAAGTATTATGTGAAACTACCGTTTTTCCTAAAATTGAATTTGTGAAGGTACCGCTAAACGGTAGTAAATTCGGTCTGGACAGACCCCTGAATAATGATGCCGAATTTATATTAAACATATTTTTCATACTTTTTTTAATTATTTTATATTGATTTAGGGTCAAAATAAGTGAAATATGTTATGATTAGCATATTAATAATTAATGGTTATGAAATACAGCTTAAAACCACCAGTGTCTTTTTCTACATTGATCAAAACATCACTTCCAAACAATAATTTTTAAAATTTGCATTTATTTGCAGTTACTTAAACCCAAGAGAAACTGTTATTCTGCATTGAAATTTCTATACAATTTATGACTTTATGATAATTATGAATTATAAAATAAATTATACTTATAAATCATAAAATAAATCTTATGAAAATTATAAAATATTCATATTGACAAAATCATTAATTGGTAATTTTTCGAAAGTGAATGGAGAAAAACTTTTGCTTGGAATTTTTATTTTAGTACAAATATAAATTCGATAGTCTAAAGGATTTTTTTGGTAAGTTTTAGGCTTTTTTTTTATAATTAAAAAATTACGAAAATATATTATTGCTTCTAAATAGAGAGTCTGAAAAAAAAAAAAGGATCAGAAGGCGTCAGATAAAAGGGACACCAGTTTCCCATCTGCGTCAAAGGGTTAAAGCTGTTTAGTTATTCCTTGCTGAAGTTTGAATATAAATATCCAAATACACAAGATTAAATTTTTTTTCTTCTTTTTAATGAATTCTATTCATGTTTTTTTCTCCCCTGTTCAATTTCAAAAGGTACTTTTTGGTCGTGTCTAGATTTAATATATCATTTATTTTGAATTAATAAAACTTTTAATTTGCTGACGATGCACTTTTCTTTCTGCAACATAATCGATTAAAATAACTTAGGAATTGTTATTTCAATTGTTGTAAAATTAATAAAGAAACTATTGTTTAGCGTAACCAAAAACTTCGACATGCTCAGAATTCAGTATTGCATGAATGAGTTGGCTTTAGTTTTCCCATCGATAGATGAAAACGTGATGCTGACGTCATCTACCGTTATTGATTTGTATTCGTCAGTCTTAGAGTGAAACACAAGACATCTTTAGGGTTTTTTTTCTCCCTCCCTTTTTAATTTTTTTTTTTTTAATTTTTATATAATACTAATAAAATTTATTATTAATACGGAAAAATACTTTTAAAAGATTTACTGATATTATTAATGCTGAGGGATATCGTATTTTCAATATCGCGATACTTTTCTAATTTAACTCTTTTACTATATTTTTATATGCATCATCATTATTTTTGTTACTTCAATGAATTTATCTAAACTCACTACAAAATCGTTAAATATCGGTTTTGATAATGCTCGCGATATTGTCGTTCACGATATTTATTGTTGTCGTTTATGAGCTCAATTATTATGAATGTTGCAATTGTAGTCTATAATTATCGTGAATGTTTTATATTTATTATAAGACGACATTCACGATATAGCGTGAGAAATTGGTTTGAAATATCATTATCGTGTCGTGACATTTAAGAAATATCGATCTTTTACGATGTTGTCTTCCAATTCTACTGTTTATGCTTTTCTTATGAAATATAAATACGTGTCATTGTGATAAAAACTTCTGAACATAGTAATTGTGCTTGTTTCCCCACATTATCAGCATAGAACAGACTTTTTGTGAAAAATCTTGCTTTGTTAAACTGATCTACAAGATTTTGTAAATTTATGATGATAGGGTCTTTTTTTTACGATCTACTTATTAAAAAAAAATGTAAGGGGTTTGCTTTTGTGATGAAATAATTTGTGAAGTTTCTGTTAACAGACCCAATTTTTTCCTATATTTGTGATCTATGAAAATAAGGTCATGTTTGTGCAGGAAAAAAAACACAAAGTATGTCTTCCCAATTGTTATAATTTTAAAATTATTCGAAGAGCACCATTTTTGTTGAAATGGGAAATATTGTGGAGGGTCCATTAATAGACTTGAAAAGTTTGATTCCTTTAAATTTTGCTTACTGAAAGATAAAAAGAAAGAAAAACTATTTTTTACAACTTTATTGCTCTGCAAACTCTAATCTTTAAAAAAATATATTATAATATTGAATTTTTTCTACAGATGTCCCTCCAACAGAACAAGAAGAATTGTTTATACGAAAATTATTACAGTGTGCTGTTGTGTTTGACTTTATGGATCCTGTGTCAGACTTAAAAGGCAAAGAAATAAAACGAGCCACACTAAATGAACTGGTAGATTTTATTACAGCAGGTAAAGGAGTCTTGACAGAACCAGTATATCCAGAAATCATTCGTATGGTAGGTTCTTTTTTGATTAATATGTGATGGTCACATAATATGTCTATTAAAGGTTACAGTCTAAATGAGAATTTTTTTAAAACCCTTTTAAGTAAAGTTTTGATGGATACTCCTGAATTTCTTTTCTTTTTTGACGGGAGAGTTTGTATAAATAACATAGCCATCCCATTCTGTGGTACATAACTTTTCTAACATGTTCATAAAAATTGTTAGAAAGGATAATTTTTTTAAAACCATATAGTAACTGGTATTATTTAGTGAAACCTGTATAAGATCATCACTTTCAGTGTATATGTAGAGTATATTTTGTATTATGCTTTTCATATATTTCTTTTATATTACCAATCAAAAAAAATTTAAATGTAATTAAATATTTTTAACATGATTTTAAAATTTTAATGAACGAAAACCTCATATCTTAAGAAGTGTTTGAAAAAACTACATTAAAAAGAAAAACGTTGACTTATTTTTACACCCATGTTCAAAATGGATTTGAATAAAAAAAGTGGCTTTTTTAATAATGAGGAATCATGTTTACATAACCCAGTTTGTTAATATTAATTATTTTTTACAAGTTTGATCTATGAGTGTTATCTTTTAAATATTTGTGATTTTATCAAACACATTTGGTTTTTTTTTTTTTTTTTTTTTTCAGTTTTTGTTTTTTCTAAGAAAAAGAAAACAGAAAATATGTTCCTTTCCATTGAGATAACATCTAGTGTTCTATGAATGTACATTCAAATTTGAGGATATGGCCGAAGTGATAAATTAATTATTAGTTTTAATGGTTAATTTGAATATTAGTCATTATGTTTAAATGGTTAGATTAAGGAAAAACACTTGCTGCTCTGGAACATCAGACCAATGTTTGTTAACACGTAGCCACAGGGGCATTTTCATTGTGTCCTTTGACAGACCAGCAAAGATTTTTGCCATTCTGGTTTAAAAAATTTGTTGCGTTTGAAGTAGTTTACAAGAATTGCTGGAAACTTCTTTTTTTTTTTTAATCTTACTTTTTTTTTTTCAAAGGAAGTATACTACAAAAAAGAAGTATTGTCTACTGCAGTTTCGCTAATCGTATTATGCTACTTCAGACCACTGATCTTGAGAAATAATATTAATTACAAAAGGAATTAAAATTTGTTCATACACGGGTATCACAATAGTAGCATGATGGTGATATTTTGTGAACCGCTGAACCATAATTAGTAGTGCAAAATTTCTGGCTGATGCTTGTAAAAAAAAAAGTGACCAATCAGTCTGTTTGCTGATTTATTAAATCAGTAATAATAAAACATTGTTCTAAGAACACAAAATAGAGATCGGCATTTGGATGGAAGATATTTTGGAAATTGCAACTTCAAATATTTCAACTTATATAGATGCTAAGAACATTTTTATCAATTAAGCAAAAATAGTATTAAACTGCACATTAAAATTGATATTGTATTTATACCGCTTGTAATGTACTACAATTAGTTTATGAGTATCATCTTATTTTGTTTGTTTCTTACAGTATTAAAAAATGCATAATTTGAATTTATTCTGGTCTAATTTTATTTCAATTTTTACGAAATGCCTCTATGTAAAAATTCATTATGTGCTAGGTAATCCTTGCTAAAATTGTACTATGCTTGTATTCGTAGAATACAATGCTCATTTTTATTAAAAAAAATTATTACGTTGTCTAACACCGTGTAGCTTGTAGGACAACACAAATTCACTGATGTGTCCTTTGCTGCAAGGAGGTTAAAAACTCTTTACTTAAAAGTTTATTTTTTATTTTATTTTTTTTGAAGAAACTCACAGTGTTGTTTCACTTAGTTCAGTCACACATACAGCATGTATTAAAAGTAAATTTATTATATTGTTTAAATATTATATTAGAGTATACATTAAAAGTGAGATTAGTCCGATAAAAACATTCAAATCCCCTCCTCTTGTGGTAATACTATACTTAATTTATTATTTGCAAAAATCAATATAATTCTCTTTTATTTACATAACTAATTGCAGTGTAGTAATTGCTGATATTGTTTTTCTGTAATTAATTCATAACAGTCAGGAATTTGGATTAATCTGATCAAAAGAAATTTTATTAACATATTTATTTTTTGAAAATGTAAATTCAAACATAGTTCTTAAGTTGTTGTTCTTTAAAGTATTTTTCAAATAACTATATTTCCTTCCTAGATTGCTTGTAATTTATTTCGTACATTGCCACCCAGTGAAAATCCAGATTTTGATCCTGAAGAGGATGATCCAACTCTTGAAGCTTCTTGGCCACATTTACAGGTGAAATTTACATTTTATTTCCAAAATTTGTTTTGTTTCTGTATGCAGGTAATTATGAAAATTTAATCATTGCTTCAAAAGTATTTAAAGGGCCGGGATAACCTGGTTGGTAGGCAATGGGCCCATGTCCAAGAGGTTGTGGGTTCGATCCCCTCTGGCCCAAGACGCCCTGTGTAGTAAATGGTGACTGATGGACACGTTAAATCTGTTTGGTCACAAAGTCCACCAAGTTCCCGTAACAAATCAATACCTCTGGGGGTACAGATCTAGGAGCTCCCTTGTCTTCTGGATTGGGGTCAAAATTAGAAGGATACAGAGTTGAGCATTGGTAGTCGTAAACCCAAAATTGGGTCGGCTGCTCAACGGCGGTTATAATATTTAAAAATATATATATTTTAAATGTCTCACTAGTTTGTTCACATTCACTACAGGAAAATATTTTGAAATTTAGGACAAGTCAAAATAATACAATAATTAAAAGTTAACTAAAAATGCAAGTTTAGCTTTATTATATAAATCCAACTTTTATCATGCTTTGATTTAAAAAAGAGTTTAATGTTCCATATTTACCATAAGTAAAGCATTTCATTTTATATTAAAAGTTAAAAAATAACAGTTTTAAAAAAATTTAAACCATTTATATTTTTTAGATTATAATTTTTCAAAAATGTGTTTTTAGATTTAGAACATTTTTGTGAAAATATCTATAATGAAAATTATAGTATTTCCAATTAACTAAGTTCGAATGGAAGTTTATTTCTATAAAAAGTGTATTAATCAAGAAGTTTTAAATTAAATGTAAGTCTTGTTACTCTATTATCAACTATATGTAAGGTAGAATATAGAACTATATGTAGATAATTTATATACTGGTCTAGATGACTAGTAACTAAGAGATTTCACTAATCTACACATATTTATTGGTACATTCACAAGTCTTTTTTTTTATATTGAAAAATAATATTAAAATAAAGCTTTCTTGACATAAGTAAAAATTTATCATTATTATTCGATAATTAGGTATCGCTTTAACAGCTTTAGAAAATGCAGAAATGAAACATTCAATTTCTGAAAAGTTTTAAAGCTTAAATTTATTGATACCAAATTTTGAAACCCTTGCATCAATATGTTTTTCACTAATCAATAAAGATTATCTGTTTCCCAAGCTCTGCTAAATTCATTGTGCTATCATGTAACATTTTAATATCTCAATGAAAAAATATTTAATAATTTTAAAATAATTAATAATTTTTTAAATCATCTTTTTTGGTTGGCATCTCTTATCTACAAGAAACTACCCTTTGTTTAAAACATGTTCATTGTTTTTAAAATTTTTAATTCAGTTTTTGCTCTTGAGTCTTTTGCCAAATGTTTTTTTAATGTAAATGTCAGTTATATGTTATATTAACGATATGTGTTTTGCTCATTTAAAGTTGGTCTACGAATTTTTCCTGAGGTTTTTGGAGAGTCCAGACTTCCAGCCTGTGATTGGTAAAAAAGTCATTGACCAGAAATTTGTCCTTCAGGTATATGCTCATTTTCAAAATTAAATTCTTAAATTAATATATTTGTCTGTCATATTTTGTCATTTTTTTTCTTATACTGTGCAGATGTTGTATTTTATTTACATTCGTATACTTTAATTTAATTTCTCTAGTATTATTTGTGTTGTGTATAATCTGTGTACATTACTTTTATAATTAATCTTATTTGTATATTTTCATTTGAAGCATACTGTTTTTTGTAAAAAGCAGAAAATAAGATCTGTCAATTTTTATTATTCACTTATTATATTATAATACTTGTTTCTAATATTTTAATTGTAGTACTACTGAATAACTAGATCAAGCAATTATTGTACATTGTGCTTTTAGACTCATTGTTTAGTTTATAAATTTGTGAATAAGTTATCTGTCATTCAAAATTAAAGTTTAATTTGATTAATTATTTAAACTTTTGTAAGTATGGTTAGTATGTTCCCCTCAACATTAGGAGTCTGGATTTTCTTGCTTTTTCAATACTTTATCTCTTTTTTTTTCACACATTAAGAATTACTTAAATATTTGCTAACCATCTTTTTGTTTTTCACTTATCATTGTTTTCTATAAACCAATGTCAACAACTATTGGGGGGGGAAATGTATTTCCGTGTCTTTAAAATTTGTATTCACAGTCTAAATAATTATACAAATTGCTTTACAATGTCAAATCAAATTTTAAATTTATAGATCAGTTCAGTTTAAATTTTTAACTTCTAACTTAAATGGTAGTTTTAATTTAATAAATTATTTAATTCTGTGGTAAAATATAAGTATATAAAAAAATGCATGGAAATAAATATTAATGTATTGAAAATTAATTTCCTAAACAAAATCTTAGACACTAGTTGTCTCCCAATTGCAAGTACTTGTTCATCGCTATCAAAAAAATTGTTTTTTAATTTTTTGTGTATCTGTTAAATTTGTATCAAAACTTATTTTCACTAAAAAAGAAAAGGGAAATCTAAATAGCTGTTATTCAGTTTTGAAGTTATAATTTTGTGGTTATTCAAAAATTTATTTAAGATTTTTCGTAATATAATATTTTAAATTTTATATTTAAAAAAAAGATTTGAACTGCAGAAAAAGGAAATCTTTAATAGAGAATTGTTTTGTTTGTAAATTTTGCTGAAAGTAAACTAAATATTAGATTATAAGTCCCCAAGCTTAAGCTTGTTATAATTTACAAATAAAACTGATAGAAAAGTAACTGATTAAATAACAGTAAGTTATTATTTGTAACCTGTCTTTTGTGCTAATTGAATGAAAAATGTTTCCAATTCAGCATTACTATTAAGTTATGCTGCATGAATTTGTTAAAAATCAAAACTCACCTTACATTTCGTAATATGAAATTCATAATATTTCCTTTGTTGAAAACAATTAAACTAAAAACAATAACCTTATTTACAATTCAAAATTTAATACAAGCATCAGATTTTTAATTAATTTTGTAAATAATTAAACATAATACCACTGTAAAATTCTAATACAAGTATATCATTTTAACCCAGAAATACAAAATTTAGTGGTTTTTTTAGTATTGCTGCTCCCATAAGAGTGGCTCTCTAATTCTTTTTATGAATTGAATCATGCATCTTTGTAAATTGTGTTAAAACCATTTGTGTTATACAATGAACATCATTTTTGTAAAATTATGATGTGGTGTGTGAACTTTTTTTATTTAACAGCTTAGCATATATTGTATTTCTTTCTAATAATAAAATATTAACTAATCTAAATAAATTTTTTACTGATTTAGAACAGGATTTTGAACTAGCATTTAAAAGAGACAAATAAATTGTGTTTGAAAGAAAAAATTTGATGAATAACTTTTTAAAAATTTTTAAGTTTAAATGTATAACCTAAAACTTATAAACCTTTAAATATTGAACAAGGAATTGGGCATACTTTGCTATGTAGACTAAAGCAAAAAACAACTTTAATAAAGCACACTGTCCATTTATGTTTTTTCATTTATGCTTTATTTATGTTTGTTTTTTGAGTGTATATTTAATTGTCAAACAAATTTCATGAAAATTTAAATAGTTTCTCCACCAAAATGCTTTAAAGTAAAACATATTTTTTCATTTTTAAAAAAATTATTATTATTTATTATGTTTTAAAAGAATTTTTAGTCTGATCTTAGATTAATTATTATGAACGAGGTTCATAAGTATGAGGTCTAGAATTATTATTCAACATCTTATTCTGTGATTTTATGTTTTTCTTAAATTGGTATAGAAATTGATTTGAATTTTTATATTTTAGCTTTTGGAATTGTTCGATAGTGAAGATCCAAGAGAAAGAGAATTTTTAAAAACTGTACTACACAGGATATATGGAAAATTCTTGGGTTTGAGGGCTTTCATTAGGAAACAGATAAATAATATATTTCTTAGGTAAATAATTTTATGGTATTACTACTTGAGCAAGTCAATTAACATTAGTAGTTTAAAAATTCTAAGAATGTGTATTTAAAACTTATAAAAACATTTATTGTATACGACTACTCGTCATTCTAATAGAATTTACTTTTTTTGTCTCATTCTTGATTTTAAGTAAATGTTGATCAATTAAAAATACTTGTACTATATCATATTATGGATTGGTCAGGGATCTCATGAGTCTAAAAGAGAAAGAAAATAATAAAAGTGCCAAATCTTTAGTCTTGCTCATAATGCTCATGTCCCTCCTAAGCTCGAAAAAATGGCCTGATCTCTTAACTAGATGTTAGTTGGTGGCTTATTAATTATAAGATTAAGCTGCCAAAACATATTTATTTTTAAAAGCAATTATTTTTCCTTTGGTACGTGTCCCTGGTGCATTTTCCTGACCCTCGGTTGCTTAATTATCAGACTCCATTTGCAACACGTACATTTTCCCGACTGGTACGTTTGCTGACAGGTTTGTTTCCCTGACAACTCATTTGTTGAACAGTGCGTTTGGCTACAAAAATATTACAAAAATCCTAACTGATTGCTTATATTTGATCAGAATAATCTGCAATTTTTAAAAAATACTAATTATGCAGTCTACTCTCCTTAGTTCAACCCTCCATTATAGCCACCTTCCTATTGCATTGACCGATATATTAAGCATCGTTGCAATGGGCATGCTGCTTGGTATCGTTGGGATACGCATTCCACAGACGCAATGCTATTTTAACTCTTATTAAAGCATTCTCACCGAACCATTCATTTTTATATAGCAGTGTTTCCCAAAGTGTGGTACACATACCCCCAGGGGTACGGGAACAGTTTAGAGGGGGTACGCGTTCTTATGCTAAATATCTTGCAACAAACGAAAATGTCAAAATTTTTTATTTAAAAGCATGAAAATTTATGATTACGTATTTTTCTATTAGCTATTTTTTGCAGACTTAACAGTTAAAATTAGTGGTGTCAACAGCCAGTTGTGATTTTTAACTTTTGTACAATTTATTTATAGTAAAAAATACGTTCATTTCTTTATCAGGGGGTACACAGCGTTAAGAAAAATTTAGAAAGGGTACGCAAAAGTCGTAAGTTTGGGAAACACTGTTATAGAGCAATCAACATTTTGCGATTCGATTCAGCTAATCTTTTCCTCTTACCGCTCATTAAATGGTGAATCATCTTAAAATCCTGTTGAATGAAGCGGAAATTATGCGGCCCTTAGATTTTTATTTTAATGGAAGATCCCATTTCTCTTATGTTTTGCAATTTATCAAGTATAATTGTTATTAAATTTTAAAAAATATATATGTAGTAATAAGATAGTAGTAAAACTATTGTTGTTTTGTAATTAATATTATATTTAATCTTACTTAATGCACACGTTATATTAATTACCTAGTTAATATTCGTGAGTTCCCATATCAAGATGTGTGGCATTTTCACATTTGAGTATCCCCTATGTATGATAGTGTTATCGAGGAAAAAGCAATTTCATTGATTGCCACTGATTTTTTTGGTTTTCATTTGTATCCTCACATTATCCCTTGGTAAAGGAAAAAAAAGTCTCCTAAAATGTAAAAAACATGTAAAGTGTAAAAGTTTCATTGATTGCCACTGATTTTTTTTGGTTTTCATTTTTATCCTCATATTATCCCTTGGTAAAGGAAAAAAAGTCTCCTAAAATGTAAAAAGCGTGTAAAATGTAAAAGTTTCATTGATTGCCACTGATTTTTTTTGGTTTTCATTTGTATCCTCACATTATCCCCTGGTAAAGGAAAAAAAGTCTCCTAAAATGTAAAGAGTGTCCCTACGACCATAACATCCTACCACTTGACTTTGACTATGTTTTGCTTAGTATTTCTGTTAAGTTTTTGCTGTCTTATTTTATGGCTCCTTTGATTCTGTTACATTATATTGAATATACAATAATGTTCATGTCTAGCACAATATAACCGTAGGATGTATAACCCGATAGTGCTACTTTTAAAATGTCTTTTAATGTAAAATTCATCCTTTGCTGTTCCCTGAAGGATGAAATTCCCATTTTCTTATAATCATTTCTTGGTGAACAATTTATGAACAATTGAACTTGGTGAACGATTTACCAGTTATGATCACTACTTCGAAACTTATGTATATTAATTTTTGCTTAAGTAATAAATTTTATAATGTTATGCATATATATTTTATTTTTACTTAAAGGTTCATTTATGAAACGGAACATTTCAATGGTATTGGTGAACTGTTAGAAATATTGGGCAGGTTTGTATACTTTCTTCTTATGATCTTTAGTAACTCAATTTGGTGACATTTTCTTTAAAAATAGGATTAAAAACTTGATTTTCTTTAATTTATTTTTCTTTAGTTTTAATATGTACATACATCTAACGGTCTACGAAATTTCTAAAGAAGAATGGCTCATGGCAAAAATAATAGCTTATCTTTTCGCCCAATATTTGAAAAACTTTTAGGCGCCAATCTATTATAGGCATACACACATTTATTTACTATAAAAAATCTTATTTCTGTCTTTTAAAAAAAAATTTTTTTTTTTGCACGTTATAAATTACACCTATACATAAGATACTTTTTTACATCCTTTAATATGTTATATCCATTGCAGGGCTTCTAGCTAGTCCTCCTTTTCATTCAAAGTCCATATTTTAGTCCTTTTTTAATGTTTTGTTCTTTTACATGATTTGAAAGTGTTTCAAATACATTAAAGTTGCGATGCATGCCGACTTTGTGCATCAATCTTTCCTCATCATTCAGTTCATTTGAAATCCAATGATGTCAATATTAGCAGCTGTTGTATTTATTGATTAGTACCACAATCGTTGAATCAGTGGGTCATTCCTTAAGTAAGATTTTTAATGTGAGTTTAGTAAAGTCAGTGAGGGCAAAGCTTCATCTTTCAACAAGTTGCAGATATTTTATTGGTTTAACTTGGCAGACCGTCTATTAAATGTACATGAGTAATTGATGTATCGTGTATATTTAACTCTATTTGTTGTTTCTATAATTTCCTACTAAAACATTTATATGGATGAATTTGTGTAATATACTAAGAGACTACAACTACTATTCTCCTTAGTTTTCGAAGAAAAAAAATTCCTCTTAGTTGCAAGGGTATTATATTTATTAATAAATTAGAATTAAGAGAATTATGCTCATCACTAAACACAAGTAATTTAAGCAGATTAAAGTCATATGAACAAATAGTTAAGTTCTAATAAATCTTTTTTTAAATTTTTTTTTTGTTTAGAACAGAAAAAAAGTTTGCAGTAGCTTCAAAGCGTTAAAAGTCTCTGTATATATTTTACTTTTTTTTTAGAAGAAGTTACTTATCTTGTTTTATTATTAGTTGTTTCAATAATTTGAATTGGTTTATTTTCGTACTGTTCATTTAAAATGATTTTAATCGTGTTGTCAACTCGTTAAATACAAAAATGTAAAGTATGGGGGTTACTAACAAATTGATCTGTTAACTTCAGTTGAAATTTTAAGTTACAGATTAAATTCGAAATACTCTTTAATTAAAATTATTAGGCTCCAATTGAAAAATATTAAACAAATTAAAAGTATAAAAAATATTCATTTATATTTTGTTTCCAATAATATTAAATTCTTTTCAATAATAATTTTTATTATCGTTAGATCTCTAATTTGAAAAATATATTTCTGTAAAATTTCGTGTTACTGCACAAATATCTGTTTATTTTTAACTGATGGAGCATATTTGAAGTTCTGAAATCCTGAAGTTTGCACCATAGAGACTGTCCACTAATTGTTGAAGGTATTAAGACGTCTTAGTGGATGTGTGGTTTTAAGAATTTTCAGTGCTCTTGAATTATCTAGTGGGAAGAAAAAAAAGAGAAAAAAAACGCAATATCTTCCTAATCATGAGATTAAAAAAAAAAAGGAGTATGATTATGATCTATTTGCTGCAATCAATAGTATTGCTGTAAGGAAAAGAGATCTTAATAATGAGTATTATGAAAAAACAAAAGTTGTACAGATTTGACTTAGTAAAAAAAAATGAGAATTGTAAACATAAAACTGTGGATACTCTTTAAAAGGAATTTTGAAACAAAATGTATTTTTAATGTCTACTTCTCTCTCTCTCTCATTTTTTGTTTATATAATAATTAATTTACAATTTCTGTTGCAAGTCTTGAATCTGTGCAATATTAACTTAGTTTTAAGAACTTAAGCAAGGACATCATTAAGCAGGAACTTCATTTAATTTTTATTCAATAAATCTATTTTGAAAATTTCTAACTTGTTTTGGTAAAACACCAGCAGTTTTAACTATTAGTGTTCTTTGAAAAGGAATTACTAAGTAAAGAAACTTATTATTAAATTTCTAGGATTGTGTATCTAAGGAAATTCTGTTTGATTGATTTTTAATGTTTTTGTAGGTCTCTTTTAAATTTTAAATCGTCCTCATTAGTCCTCTATTCAACTACAAATGGTACTCATTAGTATCTCTTTTCAACTACTGATGGTCCTTTTCCACCCTTTTCAATGTTTGAAAGAAAGCTGCCGGTCATTTTTTCAAAAGTTTTGATTGTAAAATTATTCATTTAATGTTACTCAGTTAGCCCTTTAAAATTTAAACATCTTTGCAAGCTTCTGTTGAATTTTTACCTTTTACTTACTGTGGGCTGAAACCAATGTATTCTGTAGCAACTGAATAAAATAACCAGAAATTCTTAATTAAATATTTATTGAGTAAGAGAAAAATAAAAGGGTTATAATTAAGTGAATATTTTAAGATGTGTAGAAAAATATTTTACATGTCCAAAATTATTTTATTTTAACTCTTTTTTTTTTAATTGATCAATATGAAGAACAAGACCTATTTTTATGAACTTTTTCTGAAAAAATTGCATTACAGAATGATCTTACACAGAAATTAGCATTTTAGCTATGAATTTGAATTATTAAGGGAAAAATTCTTCACTAAACATAGTGTGTGTGTGTTTTTTTAATAATTTAAATTTGAAAAAAGGATAATCTTTTTATTCAATCTCTTTCAATTTATCAAATAATATACTGTGTGTAGTGTAAATTATTTAAATTGTTCAAAAATTACTTTTTAAAATTTCTACCAGTTGTGATATTGTACTTACATAGTTGCCAACTCTACTGGACTTAGCAGTAAACTGCTAGTTTTTGTAAAGTTTAGAAAGTCACCTAAAATTGAGTAACTTTCAAAAAAACGAAAGAAGTCCTATTGAAATAGAATTTATTGCTTGCTTAAATATTTATTTAAATATTGTTAATACATAATGAACCGAGCCTCATTTTTAACAATCAAGCTTTAAACTTTTTTTTGTTCTAAAATGTTCAGTTTATTTTTTATTCAGAACTCTCTTTTTAAATTAATTAAAAAAANATTTTTTTTTTTTTTTTTTTTTTTAAATTTAACTATCAATAATAACTTACTTGTTTATTACTATTTAAAATTATGAGTTAATATAATAAAAAAACCTTTCAAATTTAGTTAATGTCAATCAAAAAAGGAAAATATTGCAGACCATTTATTGTTATTAGAGTAATAAGGTTTTTGTATTTTGATGACAATAAAAAAATCCCTTCAAATTTCCCTATTTGTAAAATATACAGTTATAAAATTTATATTTCATAAAATCTACTGAATTTTTTCCTAACAATGTTTGCAGCTATGTACTTATTATGGTCGAAGTGAAAACATATTAGAAAGAATTGTTTTAAGATTCTGCCTTGCATGTTCCTTGGAATAATCATAGAGGGAATTATCCTTCCTTACTTCTCATTTTTAATTAATTTTTCTGTGATAATTAATAAACTTTATTTACTTCCCTACTCATATATATAAAGAGAGTGTAAGTGCACATTATACTTTTTTATTTCCAAATGCTTGATCATTACTTTCGTTGGATATCAATTTATGTGTCTCATTCATTGTATTTGCAGCATAATCAATGGTTTTGCTTTGCCTTTAAAGGCTGAACATAAACAATTTCTGGTCAAAGTCCTCATTCCACTTCATACTCCAAAATCTTTAGGGCTTTACCATGCACAGGTAATTTATTTATTTATTTTTTGTCTTTTTCTTTCATCTGAATTAGTTTTGTTTTTTTACTGTTTTCAGTTTATGTTATATACAGTGTTCTCCCTAAATGTTTTTTTAAGGGCAACCTGTCCAGACTGCCTTTTGAATCCAATAAATGCACCCTCTTAGCCCTTTTTGTAAAAATAAGCCGCCATCCCTTAAAAACACTCCTTTTTTTTTTAACTCGTATTCCATTTTGAAAAACGTTAATTCACTGTTTAAATGATAATTGCACTCTGGTAAAATTATCAGCATTTATAGTTTTAATTCTGATTACTATTACAAATATTTCTTTCGTTATGATTGTTCTCAACTGGTTAAATTTTTAAGCATATCTTTTTTCAGGGAAATAGTAATAATTTTTTTAAGTGATTTTAAAACTATTTTTTAAACAAACACCTTTTTTTTAAAAAAAAAATGCACCTTTAAATGTTCATTTTCTCTAACTTTCAGCTATCAGTTAATCATTTTTTGTTAGTTTACTTTTTTTGAAGGAGAAAAAAATATGCAGAGGGATTGTATTTTAGCGTGCCTTTAATTATTTTTATTAACTGCAAATTTTTGTCATATTTTAATAATGAGAGCGAATTACTTTTTAAAATAGAAGAAGGTAATTTAAGAATTGTTGAGGATAAAATTCAGTTATTACATAAATTTGTACAGTGTTGAGTGAGTGCCCTTTTCAGAGCGGAAGCACTGTGCCCTTTTTTTATTCTAATGAGAACTCTGGTTAGATAAAGAAAACCTATTGTTTGTTATGAATTTCTCTTATGCACTTTTAGTTTTTATTGTCAGGGCTCCTCCTCACGGGTCAAGGAAAATCTAGAATCCTCAGAAAATTTTATTTTAACTCTTAAAACTCAGGGAAAGTTGCAATTTTTTACAAAAAAACTGGGAAATTCCTAGATTATACCTGAAAAATAACCAGTCTAAGAATTGTAACTAACAGTAATCAGTTATTGAGGTTATAACATCTATAACAATTCCACTTTTTAGTGAGACTTTACCATTCTCATTCTAATATATGTTTTTGTTCACAACATCTAATATTTGACATTACAAATTTTAAAAAAATCAGTTTTTTGATGAAAAATTACATGGTAAAGCTAAAATTTAGTATGGATTTTCATTGAAATTTACCTGATATACCTGGAAAAGTCAGAGAATTTTTTTTCCTTAAATGGACCGGTTGGGGATTGGCTGATTGCCTTTACTTTTTAGGTTTTTGCTGACAAATAACTTGCCAACTTTATGCATACACAAATTTGAAAGCCACCTCCAATAAATTCACTGTACAAAGGCAGCATCCAGTACTCCAAGCCAGATATTTCTTTAAAAAAAGCATTTATAAGATTGTACATCAAAACGTGCATTCTTCACAAACTGGCTTGAAACTTTCTCCCAACTAGATTTTTTGTTGCAAAATGTTTAATTTGCATCATTGCTACCTTAATTTGAAAGAGAAAATTTCCTTAAAAAATTATGGAACAGTTACTTACACTTAACGAAATGTTGCTTGAAAAGTGTAAAACTGCTCCTCTGAAAATATATAAATTTGCAATTTAATTCCTAGAATGAAAAGATTTATGTAATAATATTTTAGCAAATAAGGATTTCTTTTCTTAAAAAAAGTAATATTGTATACTTAATTTTATTAATTTACAAATTTTGTTGAATACATTACAATTGCCGAATAATTATTACTTAACTTATTCTATTATTAACAAACTTTCGATTCAAACTTTTAGAAATTGTAAAAAAAAAGGGGGGGAAACTGTTATTATATTTTTAAGATTAAGAATTTTTTTCTCACTTAAATAAAATGAAATAATCTTTGAACTAATTATAACTTTACATGTCTATAACTTGAATTAAACGCAACATTAAAAATTTACAAATAAGGAAAAAAATCTCCCTTCCTATTGAATGGGAAATACAAGGTTTAGTTAAAGTGGTCCAAAAGCAAATTCAATTTCTTCTGGGATGAAGATCTTTAAGGTTTTATCTCTCACCAAAAGTTTGTTTTATTATGTAGCAATCCTATAAAGGTTTCTAGAATGTTAAAAAGTAATTTAAGATCTTTTTTTTCTACTCAACGTAATGTGTTTATTTAAGAATAAACATTGCATCAGTGTTATAACATGTTAAAGAATACAATCAATTAAATATGGATTTGAAATACAATTTTTAATTGTTTTGTTTTTGCACTTTATTAGCTGGCTTATTGCGTGGTACAGTTCCTTGAAAAAGATGCTACGCTTACGGAGCAAGTAAGTTAGATATTAATTCATTATAAAAGTTGATATTTATTACTCATTTTAATGCTCAATTAATTAAGTTGGAATTTTTAGTCAGAATGTCGTCCATTCCTTATAATATTAATGATTTTTCTAAGAGTCTTATGATCATGAATGTCCATACCTTTCTATTTTATTGTGTTTATTAGCAATTTATTGTGTGTTCAAGCAAGATGTAAAAATAACACCAAGTTTTCTTAATTTTCAAATTTCTTTAGTTCTATTTTTACCTCTCATGCATCTTGTTTCACCCATCAGTGTTCACTATCCTTTGTTAGTGATAGATTTATGAATTCACTTGAATTTTTTTAGATATAAATTTTATATCAACTAATTCTTGTGATCAGGAAAATATTGGTTGCAGACCTGCCAACTCTCCTGCTTTTAGGAGTCTCCTGCCTTTGCCTCAAATCTTCGGCCTCAGGCCTTCAGGGTGTTTTCTAGTTCTATTTAGTATTTATTCAGGGTGTTGCCTTTTTCTATTTAGTGCATGATAGAGGGAAAAAAACAAGCAATCATCCGCACTTAGGATACACCCCCGTTTTTCCTTTGCCTCTTCACGTTGTATGAAATCATGATTCGTGATTATCATGATGCCATGGCATCGTGTGACGTAGAGTGGAAGAGGGAGGGTTGCAAGCAGTAATGTCTGACTAACATAAAGAAAAATATATCAGACAGCTTTTAACAAAAAATATTCTGATGATTTTCCTTGTATCCTAAGTTCAAGGAAAGGAGATACGTTTGCATTCTGCTATGCGTGTCAAACAGATTTTTCTATTGCAAGTGATATTGTTGCCCACATCAATCGTGAAAAGCATCAAACTGCTTCTAGATTTCTCAAGGAAAATCAAAAAATAATTTTTCAAGTAAAGTAAAAGAAACGATGATTTTTCTGTTATTCATGCCGAATCATTTTTTACTGCTTTTATCATAGAGCATAACCTCCCAACTTGTGCTTCAGATCATGTTATGGATTTATTTAGAAAAATGTTCCCATATAGCAACATCACTAAAAATTATGGGTGTGCGCAAACCAAAACAACAGCAATAACCAATGAAATGGTAAAATTGGAGAGGAAATATATCTTGGATACCATTAGGCAAAATGTTTTTTCACTTTCTATAGATGGCAGTTTTTTAAATAATGCTACATCAGCAACATCTGCAGTTTTAAAACAGTAGCAGTTTAAAAAAAATAAGAAGAAATACATTTATAAAGTATTGTATTCATTATTGACATATTTTGTTAATTTTGAACCTCTTCCTGATATTTTAAAAAATCAAGATGTGTTTTAATATAATTCTATAGAATCTTATATTTTATAGTAAGAACTCATATCTTTATTAGTCAGTGTCAGAATCTTATTGTGATCTATTTTATGTAATTTAAATAATATATTTTGAAATAAACTTCTTGTAGGAAATGTGAATCAGGTTTAATTCTCAATATTGCGCTATGTCGTGATACAGAAAGAGTATCCTGCTTTTTTATTTTGTAAGGTTGGCAGGTCTGTGGTTGGCTATTTCTATACACTCCTGCGTCAAAGATTTCTATTGATTGGTAGTGTAATAACAAATAAATTCTTTACAAAATTCATCACATTAGAGAGAACATTTTTTATACAAATGCATTTCACATTACAATATAAATACATTATAAATAAATTTCATTTGTTAGCCGTTATTTTGTCTTACATTAGCTTATATGAAAGAGTTCTTAATTATTTTCTTTTACTTAAAGAAAAGTCTATTTTTGTTTTTATATGTGTAATATGGTTTTTTAAAGCATAACGAAATGTCTTAATCAGTGTTCTTTATCTTGCTTTCTTTTTTCACTTTAATAATTTACCTTCATCCATTCATTTATTTTTTTAAATTGTTGAGTTTTAATTGATTTAAAAGAGACACTGATTAACAGAGCTTGAAATTTTCAAAAAGAATATTGCCTTTTAGTCTTAAAAATCAAGATCATTCACCAAAGTTTCAAATTACAAACAATTAGTTATCAAACAAGTTGTTGTAATGAAATAAATTTTGCCCACACTCATATAATTGATAAATAATTTGTTTAAACAAATCAAATAATTACTTTTTCAAAGAAAAAAAACTTTTTTTTTTTGTTTAATTGTTTTATGTTTTTTTACTTCTCTCTAGTATATATTTTAATCTATCATCTTTTTATTCTATAGGTTATACGAGGCTTGCTGAAAATATGGCCTAAAACTTGTAGTCAAAAAGAAGTAGGTTCCTGATTTTCAGATTTTTCTTAATTTCTTCCCTATTACAATTTTATGTGTATTTAGAGATGTGTCACTTATTATATAATGAATTGTACTTGTTAAGTATTTACGTAATGATATTTTATTTTAGTGATTTCAATCAGAGTGTTATTTCATGGGACTTTTCCTGGAGAATATATCTAATTATCTACAAAATTGTCAATTTTAATATTTAAAAAAAATTTGAAACACGCTGTCACAAAATTTTAAGTTTTTCTTTTTTAAACTGCTACAAATACTGTTGGAAAATGTAACTTTTCATTATATTTTGTTCCCTTTTTTACGAATACTGTTGATTTTAAAGGAAAGTGGAATAATATTTTTCAAAAATTATTTATGATCAAATTGAGTGTTCTTGCAACATGTATCATTATTTGAGAAGTATGAATATCAAATAATCTTAGAGCAATAATTATTATTTCATAAATTCTGAATACCCTTTTTTACCAGAAAGCCCCGGAAGTTACAAAATGGAAGTATTAAAAGTGGCTAAAATATGTTTCTAAAATAAAATATCTAGTAAAGAATGTGTGTAAAATTATAAACAATTTAAAATATGGTTAAGTAAAAAAAAAAAAGGTTATAACCCATTAATCCCATCTTATCATTATAATACAGTAGCCCACTTTATATTGCCTTTGTCAGGGAAAAGGAAAGAAATAATCTATAACATATATTATTATATCTATTAAAATCAAATGAGGGTGTCTGTTTAACATTATTATATGTATATTTTTATTGGCCGAAAAATCACATAATAAACTCAAATTAAAGAAATTTTTTATATGATTTAAATCTTAACAATACACTGTTATGCTTGCACAAGTTATATTTAATATATCAGCCTGTTTAGTAAGCAAAAATATTAAATTATCATTATGAACTCATAAAATTTTTTATAACAATGTACCTTTAATTTTAAAATGTCTACTAATAGATCCAATGAAATTTGACTTGAAAGTAAACATTTAGTTTTAAAGAAGTGTTTGACCTGGTCAGTGGGGATACAACAAATAGAATTCTTAATAGTACATATATTTTATATAAAAAAAAACAACTTTTGTGCTAAGAAAAAACAATTATTGTAAGGCAATCATCTAGGTTGATGAGCTGTAGCAATCAGGGAACTTAGCCTCCTAGTATTGTAAAAAAAAAAATTTAAAAAAATTGAAGTACGCAAATTAAAATAGGAGAATTGCTTAATAAGTTTTGATTTATTAATCTAAATATCACATACTAACCTGCATTATTTATAACTTTTAAAAATGCTGATTAATTACAGACTATATTTTATGTTATGATAATAGACAAAAATGTACTTCCCCTGAATAGATATTTGCCTCCTTTTTTTCCAATAGATTCGGAATTTTTACCTTTAAATATATAGGCAGCCTGCCTTAATCTGAAAAATATGGATCCAATAATTTAATTAAAAGAATGATCAAAAAAAGTTGGCTGTCTAAGAGTTTTTTTTTTTTCAATTTTTAAATTTATTGCTCCATATCTACAGAACTATTTAACCAATTCAAAATAATTTTGAACATTAGAATGAAACTCATTAATTTAATGGCAATTTCACGCAAAATATGATTTTTTTTTAAGATAATCTATTATTTTTTATTTTGATAAAAAGCAAATAAAATTTTCAAACCATAAGGAATTTTAACATCATTTTTATCTATGCAATTTTAAATGACAAAATTTAAACAGAATTTGTTTTGAACGATTCTCTAAAATTATTAGGCTGATTCATTGCAAACTTCCACTTATGTCATATGCTTCAGTAACAGAAAATATTTAATAACAAGAAACTGTGATGTAAACAGTGCAATGGTTGAATCAAATCTGAACTAATTAATACAAAGCCTCATCTATGAGAATAATTATCCACAATTTTTGCTAAACTCCTATATTATGAAAGTCAATTTGAATCTATTGGAAAAAGGTTGATAATTTCAAAAAACTTGTTTTTCTGTTTGATTCTTTTTGCTTAAAATATCTTATGAAGTAATTTAAATTTTACTCTTCAAAATATTTTGAATTCGTATCAGAAAATTGGATTATTAGATCAAAAGTCATTCAGCAGTTCCTTTTTCTTCAGTATTTTGTGCAGCGTACAACTTAAGACAAATTAGACATAAACATTTGCATGTACCCACTTTTATTGTGTCTATGCTCACAATAGATAGTCAATTGTTCTGACTCCTGAGAGGCAGTGAACTGTGAATTTGTATAACTTGTAGGAAATGGAACAGTAGCAATAAAAAATAAAATCCATTAAGTTTAAGGAAATACAGATAATCCGCCAACCACAAAAATATATTTATTTGCAATTCTAAGTTACAAAAAAAAAAAAAAATGGTAGTGGTTGTATTCATTAATTTTGTTGTGGAGATCTAAATATCTGTACAATAATATGAGGTGCTATTGAATTTTATCGACTGGAAATATTTTATTTGCAGTCAGACTATAGTCAGATAGTTCTATTTAACGAACTTCTATTTTGCAAATTTCTCTATGTTGCGATTTTTTTCAACCCAAAAATATTGTAGAAGTTTTTTCATGAAATAACTTCCAAATAGCGAAGTGAATTTTCTAAGTGAATTTTCTATTTAACGAACTTTTCATTGAGATCCACTTACCCTATTTCCCAAAATATTTCAGATCATTTCAAACTTGTTAATGTATTTTGTGTGTGAAATGACCTTAAATTGATTTTCGAAGCCACTTTTAGTGAAAGTGGTAAAATCCCCTTCCCTTTTTGTTTGCGTTTCAAATGAAAAACTCAGACAAAACGGATTTTATCAGTAGCAATTAAACTTAAGAACGCATGTGGCTATGTATGTCTTAAATTTCTTTTATAATAAATGCAGCTATAATTTTATACTTAAATTTAGCTTTTTTTAGTTGAAAGCATTTGTAGCATGATAGTGTAACACTAGATAATGTGTTGCTCTATTCTTGCTTTCCATGCAGATTTCTTTTATGACTAAGATTAATAAAATAAATAGCAGATACTAGTTTATAAGATAAAGGTGTATCAATTGCTATTTTAATTTTGTCTAGTGTTTATGAATTCAAGACCTGTTTTGTGTTGTTTAAGTATTTCAAAAGTTGATTTTCTGTTTAATGAATTTTCCATGTAGCAAACTTTTTATCAGGATTTAGCGACTTTGTTAAATAGAGGGCAAACTGTATTTCTTTATGAGAATACTAATTTGTTGTCTTGTATTAAAAAACTTATACTTACCTTTAAGGTTAAAAGATTACTATAATTTTTCATGTATTTGAAAATTATGTTTGTGTTGTATAAAAATCAAATTAGTTTTTTAAAGAACTAGGCGATGTTTTGGGAAGAATCATCATCTTTAATAATTGAACGTATANTACAGTCAGACTTCTGTTTAATGAACTTCCATTTTGCGAATTTCTCTATATTACGTTTTTTTGCAACCCAAAAATATTTTGGAAATTTTTTCATAAAAAAACTTCCAAGTAGCAAAATGAATTTTCTATTTAACGAACTTTTCATTGAGATCCACTTTCCCTATTTCCCAAAATATTTCAAACTTGTTAATGTATTTTGTGGGTGAAATGACCTTGAATTGATTTTCGAAGCCACTTAACTTTTAACGAAAGTGGTAAAATCCCCTTCCCTTTTTGTTTGCATTTGAAATGAAAAACTCATACGAAACGGATTTTATCAGTAGCAGTTAAACTTAAGAACGCATGTGGCAATGTATGTTTTAAATTACTTTTATAATAAATGCAGCTATAATTTTATACATAAATTTAGCTTTTTTTAGTTGAAAGCATTTGTAGCATGATAGTGTAACACTAGATAATGTGTTACTCTATTCTTGCTTTCCATGCAGATTTCTTTTATGGCTAAGATTAATAAAATAAATAGCAAATACTAGTTTACAAGATAAAGGTGTATCAATTGCTATTTTAATTTTGTCTAGTGTTTATGAATTCAAGACCTGTTTTGTGTTGTTTAAGTATTTCAAAAGATTATTTTCTATTTAATGAATTTTCCATGTAACAAACTTTTTATCAGGATTTAGGGACTTAGTTAAATAGAGGGCGAACTGTATTTCTTTATGAGAATACTAATTTGTTGTCTTGTATTAAAAAATCTTATACTTATCTTTAAGGTTAAAAGATTACTATAATTCTTCAAGTATTTAAAAATTATGTTTGTGTTGTATAAAAATCAAATAAATTTTTTAGAAAACTAGGCGATGTTTTAGGAAGAATCATCATCTTTAATAATTGAACGTATGAATTATTCTATAAATATTAAAATTATGCTTATTGTATGAAATCGTTTATTATTTCACTCTTTAAAAATAAAACCTTTTTTCTAAGAGAAGTTATGTAAATGTATTGTAAAAAAAAAATTGGAATGGCTAAAGTAGTTCTTAATGTCAATAAACTTTTTTTAGGTGATGTTTCTGGGAGAAATTGAAGAAATATTAGATGTGATAGAACTTTCTCAGTTTGTAAAGATTCAAGAGCAATTATTTAGACAGATTTCTCGTTGTGTGTCCAGTCCTCATTTTCAGGTATTCAAAACTTTTATTTAGTGAATGTTCCCTGAAACGCAATACAATTTTAATTAATTTACTGTGCACTCTTTTGTCTTTGTTCATGCATGTATTGATTTATTTTTTTAATTAAAAATATTAAATTAATTGAAAATAAATAGAAAAAAAAATGCAGGCATAATAAATCTTTAAATGCATAATCCAATTTTATTTCATGTACAATTGTGAAAAGGACATACAGGGTATCTGCGCACCTGGAAAGTCATGAAAAATCATGGAAAGTCATGAATTTCAGTATTGAACAAAATTTGTCATGATTTTGACTATTTTTTTAAAAAAATCATGAAAAGTCGTGGATTTAGGTCTCCGAAGAATCTAATTTTTAAAATGCAATCCCCCCTCCCATTTCATCCTGTTCCAAATATCTGAATTCCTATCAAATCACCATTCAGTCATATTTTATTAGAATATAAAATGATTTTATCATGTTCTTTAAAAATTATGGTGTTCTTTCAAAAACTGAAAGAAAAAACATCATTTCTAGAGGGAATTATATTTTAAATTTCTGTGATTTAAGAACTTTTATTATTTATTTTTTTTTTTTAATTTTATCAATTTAAAATTCTAGTTGAAGCAAACCAGTAATTGGCGAATTTTTTTTATTCCGAAATGAGGACAAAAAAACACAGGAATATTTCTTTCCTTTCTGATGAACAAGAAAAGTATCTTTAGAATATAATTCTGTAGAAAAAAAAGGGGGAGGGAATGTTTGCTTTTGTATTTTTTTCAGCTATTTTATTGTTTCAACTCTTTCTTTACTCTGTTTTTTAAATTTAAAATCCATAAATGTGAAGAGGCAGAGTATAACAGTTTTGGTTATACCTATCATATCAATTAATGTTATTATAATGCTTTTTTAAATTTATTGTTGTGTTTTTGTCGGAGAAAATAGTATCTTCGTTAAGTCATGAAAAATTCTTGGAATTAGTCATGAATTTGAAGATCTGAAATATAGCAGATACCCTGGACATACTTTTTCAAAATTAATGGTATGCATGTAGTGTTTGTTGTAAATGACCTAATAAATGGGCTCCTCCCTAATATTTATAGATAAAATCAAAGAATTTTCAAAAAATCACTGTAAAACTGTAAGAGCATATTTTGACATTCAGATAATTTATAAATCAAGGTTATTTTGAGAGCTTAAAAAGTTAAACTTTATGAACTTTAAATTAGTTTTCTAAGCACTTATTATGGTTACATGATAAATATAAATATAATTTTGTTAAATGTTTAATGCTAACTAACTCCCTGTCATTACAGTCCATGTTGGACCATGGTCTCACTAACAATTTTCCTCCAAAGTTGTCTGTCTCTAGCTCTTTGTGTCCAGTTTCAAGAGTATTAAGGTCTTTTTCCACCTCGTCAAACCATCTCTTGACTGGCCTTCCTCTTTTCCTTTGACCCTGGCACTGCCCCTTGAATATCTTCTTAGTGCCTCTGTTTTCCTCAAATGTTTAATACTCCCTTTCTATAAATCTCATTTGCAGAATGAATTTTTAAAAAAAATGGAAACTACATTGGATGTTAGTAATAAAAAAAGGCAGTATTCAGTTTTTTTAGATTTAAAAAACAATTTAAGGCAAAATTTCCTTTATTGGAGGGTGCAGTGTATTGTGTGGTAAGTATTTTGTATATAATAAATTATAGATTTTTCAAAGTGCATTAATGTTTATTTAATCTTGACGTTCAATTAGACTCTTCTTGATTGTGAACTATTATTATCATGAGAGATCTGCAGTTTTTATTTATCTTTGATGATTTAAGGGACATTTATTTTCAGTTCCTACTATTAGTTCACACTCTCCCTATATATTGTTCAAATTTTCAATCGTTCATAAAATACTTTTTATTCATTCACTTAAGTTCAAATACATTTTTTTGAACTTGTAGTGGATGATACTTGATGTTAATACAGTTTTTTCAAATATTAATTCATTAATTAAATAGCGATGAGCGATAAACATTATATTACTTATTTATTATCTTATAAATCTTACGTTATTACTACTGGCAGTTATTAATTTGACAGTTTATTAAATTATCATATGACCTATTTCGTGTCGTTTTAAGAGTTATTTCAAAATCTAAACATCATTAAAGAAATAATAAGAAAGGGGTAAAACAAAAATGAATAATTTTTTCACAACTATAATACTATTTCCTGCAATGCTGTGCATATATGTTGCAGAATTTTTAATTTTTCTCATCCATTGTGTTTTTCTGAATGTATTATACATAGCTCACATATAAACAAGGCATTCTGCTAAGTTCCAATGATATTCAAACTAAAATAAAATGTTGGTTTTAGGTTGCTGAAAGAGCACTCTATTTTTGGAACAATGAATATATCCTGAGCCTGATAGAGGAAAATAATCAAGTCATAATGCCTATTATGTTCCCGGCCTTGTACCGTATATCAAAGGAACATTGGAATCAAACAATTGTAGCTTTGGTTTATAATGTCCTAAAAACTTTCATGGAGATGAACTCCAAATTGTTTGATGAACTCACAGCTTCTTACAAATCAGAAAGGCAAAAGTAAGTCTCAATTATAATCCCACAATGGTGTTTGATATATTGCCTCTGTGTACTTAATGCAGTTATGTTTTCTACATCTGTTTACTTGATGATAATTCTAAAATTATGTCATAAGTGTTTAGTTAGCCACGTATTATAAATGGTTAGTGATAAATATCTGTGTTTTCCGATCTTCTACTTTGTCTGCCAACTTTTTATCTTACTCAGAGTTGCCACTCTGCTTGGAAAATTCAGGAAATTTAAAAATAACCAAAATTAATAGGGAAAATGTGGGAAATTTTGAGTTTTTCTTTACAAACAGGAAACATGCAGGGAATTTTTCTAATTTTCGTCCTCTAAAGCGTAATCTATTGGATATTTAAGGATGATATTTCAGCTACACTACACTATTTCATTTACTATAGCATTAAAGTATGTTAAGCTATTCCTTTTTTTTCCAGCAATTAAAACTAATAAATATAGTTAGCCCAATATAGCTCACACAAGATCACAGTAATTGTTGTCTTCTTCTTAATATATTGTGCATAATATGCGTAGGGAAAAAAAACAGGGAATTTTTTCCAGATTTGAGTGGCAACCCTGCTAAGTCAAATAAAATGAATTTATTTGTGTTTGATGTGTCTAAAGGGCAGATATATTTTCCAAAAAAGATTTGTCCTGTTTTATTTTATTTTTTTCTAATTATTTATTTTTTACTTTAATGGTATGTTTTGTTTTCAACTCTTATGTAATATTTTGAAGTAAATTTTTTCGTTAAGAATATGTCATAACTGAAATATTAATTATAAATTTTCTGCCATCATTGATCACCAAAATTTGTGTGAAGTTTGATAAAATCAGTTCGGATTTTTGACCACCTTGTAATTGTATCATAATTATTTTTAAAAATTTTATCCAGAAAACTCTTAATTTTGCAGCTATAGTAAGTTAGCAAGTTAATTCCTTAAACCAACAACTATCCAATCTTTTTAAGTTAGTTTTAGTAAATGCATCCAACTTCTAAAAGAATTCTTTATATCTTCTTACTTTTCATTTTTGGACAAACCATCAAAATTTGAATGTGATGTTTACATTTTTCATATTTTAACTTAATAAAACTTAAAACAAAAAATGATGCCTGTTGGAACTTTATAAAATATGTGGATTAAACTGTGGAAAAATTATTTTATCCTGGAAATCTATCTTATTTTATCCTAAAAATGCATTTAATCAGCATCTATAAAAAGATGCTCTAATTGCAATCAATTGAGTTAGAATGTAATTGGGTTTAGGAAATTTTCTTTCTTAACCAATTTACTTAGTATTAAAAAATTGTAAAAATAACCTACATTATTGATTTCGTAATGTAGGTTAGATAATTTTTATTTCTTTTAGTTGATTTCTAGGCTAATATCACCTGAAACATGTCATAGGTATGTAACTACGTATAAATATTACTTTTTTTTTTATTTAAATTTTATTTTTACAAAAGGCATTATTCTTTAAATTTAATTTTTGGGTCTGTCAAATAAGCCATAAGAATTTTGTTTGATCGTTGTGTGGAATTTGCTTTAAAGAAGCTATATTTTTTTTCGCATGTTACATATTAGTGTTGATTATATTTCATTATTATAATGAACACATAAGTATTATTTATAATCATTTACTTTTGGTCACAAATATCATTTATTGGTCAACTCATGTAGTATAGTGAGATTGTTTGCTGTTCTTTGTGCTGTTTTTTTCTCTTTGAACTTATGAGAATATTTAGCCTTTTCAAAGTGGTAATTTTCATTAAATGGTGAAAATAATTTTTCCTATTGCATAAAAATCTCAATTTCCAAGAATTTTAACAGAAAATTTTGCTAAATCCAAATCATGCTTTAACAAAATTTGAAATGACATAATTAAGATTAAACCAACAATTTATTAAATCTTTTCTCCATCATTAAGCCTTTTCTCACAGGGTGCATAGCATTTTTTAAAAGGGCTTAATTTCCATTTAAATTTTTTTTTAAATCAGTCTTTTTCCTTGCCATGTTGATTTTGGCCTCAAACTGTACAAAGAGGTGATTTTTTATATTGTTCCTTTCAACATTTTCACTATTCGTTCAACCATAATTCATTTTGGCTTACCGTATGAGAACGCCTATAATTTTACATACTTCATGAAATACTTGCGGATACGCGTGAGCTTACACTGAACTGAATCTTGCCTTCTCGTGTGCACCTGCTACATTTTGCAAGAGATTCTCGATTTCAAGCTTACTTTTTCTGTCTTTAGAAATCAAACCGAAAAATTTCTTGTAATTTTGCTGATCATAGGGACCAACTAAACATGCCATTTTTTTTTCCAGCAAAATAAAATTTTATTCCTCTAGTTAATTTCATCATAAGAATTAATTGAGATTTTTAATTCTAAGATTTTTTTACCTGAGGAACCTTCCACTAATTGCATTAAAAATTTATTGTATATAATTAGTTATGAAGTTTTCAGTGCTCTTTAGCTATTTTATGCAAAAACTCAATAATATTTAAGCTCAAGATTTTTTTTAAAAAAAAAGTGTAAAATGAAGGGCTATTCACTATTTTAAAATTTAGCAAATGCAGAAAAAAATCTTGTGTTAATTCTGATTTGTCATTTAAAAAAAAAAAAAAATTCGTTTCTTAATGATTTGGCTCAAACTCAATTGAAATAAAAAATTACACAATCTCATATTTGTTAAATATTATAAATCTAGGGACCATATAATTTATTCCTGACAAAAATGTTTAGCTTCTACTCTTATTGTATTTACATTCCAAAACTATTGAAACATTTTTTAATCATTTTATTAAAGAAATACTGAACTAAGTAACAAATATTAAATAAAAATTTACTAGGGCTGTTCACTAATTTACGTTAGTTATATGAATTAAGTTTTCTTTGTTTGCTTAATTTCTTACATATCTTTATAAATTCAGTATCATTGAAAATATTATACTAGTTAATGTTTTGTTAAATATATACTTTTATGGATAATAAATCTGAAAAAATTAGCTTTTTTAAATTTTAATGTTGAATTAAAATTTTCCTTTTTATATAATCAATTATTAATTTAAAAAATAGAATGCTTGACTCAATATTGAATTCGGCATAAATTGTTTTTATGGTGGCTATTATAATCAAGAAAAGAGTTCTTTGTCGGAAATTAGTTAATCTATCCTGATCATGTAAAGTTTTTGAATTTTGTTTATTTATATTTGTATAAGGAACTTTCAAAATAGGAAGATTTGTTTTATTAGTGTGCATATCCCAATTATGATTTTCTTTAAATTAAAGAAAAAACAGTGCTTAAAAATATTTTTTGAGCTCTTTTGTTGAAAAATTTGGCTATGCTCTCTCAGGGTGCATAGCATTTTAAAAAAGTGCTGAGATGTACTTATTTTTGATTTTTATGTTTTTTGAAAGCCCTTAAAGATGCTTTTTTTTATTCAGGGTTTGTAAAAAGTGCTTAATTTTCTGTCTTTTTGAAAAAGATTTTTTCTTTGCCGTGTCGATTGTCGTTCTAAATTACAAAAAATGCATGATTTCCACAATTTTCCTGCGATATTTATCAGAAACTAGTTATTTTATCATGATTATGTAAAGTTTTTGGAAATATTTTTGAATTTTATTGATTTTATGTTTATAAATTAAGAACTTAAAAATATAACGAAAAAAAAAATTATTGCTGCACTGATCCTAATTATGAATTTGTTTTTTTTGGAAAGTGATTAAAAATATTTTTGAGTGCTTAAAAGGTGCTTATTTTTTGTTGAAAAATCTGGCTAAGTACCCTGTCTATGTCTGAGAGCCCACAATATACAATTTCAACAGTTGCATGTCTTGATTTTAAACCACAAAACTGTCTTTATGTCAAAGGCTAATTGGGAATTTCAGCTCTTTATATAGTGCCAACATCATTTGTTAACATATTGTATTGAACCTTGTAGGTGCATTACAAAAAAAGATCAACAGTTTACTAAGAGACCATGGCCTATATTTTATATATTTTTTTATGTTTTGTTTTGGGACAATATAATGGTAAGCCAAACTTTTTTCTGACAGGGACTATTTTATATCAAATTGTTTCTTTATATTGCTTCCAGTTTGGAGCTAAAACTTTTGAGTTTTCACTAGATAACAGTTCAATACACAAGAACAAACTGTTTAGAATATTATGTTCTTATGGAAATGTGATGTTGGGGCTCTCTCGAGCCATTGTGGCTCAGTAAATCGAGTGCTTCTTTCCCAATGTGGTGACCCAGGAACAAATAGGAGACATATGATATGAGACATAGCTGGACAAATTTAACTTGTGGCCCACGCCACCCACAGTGCTGATGTAAAATATTGTCAGTGGTATGTAGTGATTAAGGATTAGAATCTTATAGCCATTGGACTGACCACAGCAGATTTTTGTGGTTTTCCTCTCCATATAACCCAAATGGGTGTTATTTCCATCAAAAAGACTATTTTGTCTCTAGGAGTCTTGTCTTTTTGGTTTGGTTTTTAAATTACATGTCTGTACTGATAAACATTGGTAATCTTAAACTTAAAAGTGGATTGGCTGTTCAATACTAGTTATGAAATAAAATAAGTACTCCACTGAACATTTGAAAATGCGGCTTATCATTGTATTGCCATGAGCTTTTTATTTAATGTATTTATTTTTTTCCCTCTCTGTGAAATCATTAATAACATGATTTTTTTCTGAATGTAGAGAAAAGAAAAAAGAGAAAGAAAGAGATGAGTTATGGAAGAAACTTTCCCAGCTAGAGTTGAACCACAAAGCAAAGATCAACTCCATCCCCCATCACTCTCCGTAGTGGCTCTTTTTTCGAACACCCTTTCTTTTTGTAGAATTTTTTGGGCCTCCACCTGTAATGTATAAATTGACAATTGTGTTTGAATGTGGTCAATACATTTGGCCCCAAAAAGATAAAAGTATAGGTATATATAAAAAAATAAATAAACAAATGTGGCCCATCCCCAAATTCAGTTCTTCTAATTGCTGTGGGAGACTTTTTACATCACGGAAAACAACTCCTCCAGTCAATGAAGAGGCGATAAAATAAAAAATAATAAACTTCCTATTCAGTGTTCTTCGACATGTAATGGAAGTTTGCTGGGACATTCGATGTACCATGCTGTTGGAAAAACAAAAACAAATTTTCTAATCTATATATACATATATATATATACTGCTTGGAAGTAAAATCAACACTTGCTAAAACTCCAGAATACATTTTTTGGAAGAAAAAAAAACAATTTTTGTAAGATTTAAGATGTTTAGACAATTAATGTTTGTTTTTTCTCTTTCTCTTATTGATTTTTAATAAAAAAAAATTTAATAATGCATGAATCATGATGAGTAGCAGCTGTGAATGATGAATGGTTGTTGGAAGATCCACCCTCCCCCCTTCCTTTTTATGTTTTTCTGCTTATTTATTAGTTAAGTCTATTAGATTGATATGAGATTTAAGTTATTTGCTCTTTTTTATGTTTTATTGCAACAAAAATCTTAAAAATGACTCAGCTTTTATTCAAGATTACCATAAATCGTAGCAAAAAAATTTGGAAGGAAAAAGGAACTTTGGCTTCATCAAAAATTCATCACAAATTTAGTTTCCCTAATTTTCTTTTTTTTTATTTCTAATATATATTATCGAGCAAGAAAATGGGTAGTACTTTTTCATCTTTGAATATTTATTCTCGCAAGAGTATATATTAGCACTTTACGAGGTGCTTTGTAGTTGTGCTGATAGTTTGTACTGATCACTCATCATCATGATTTTACTCATTGTAAGTTTTCAAATTTTTCACCCTCCCTTTTCATCGACTACCTCATTTTCTGCTGAGGAGTATTCACTATGTCATGAAATATAAATGATTTTTATCTGCCATACCATAAATTAACTTTTTTTTTAAACTAACTTTAGACTTTTAATTCAACATTACAGGGATTTAATTATTTCTCCTCGACAAAATGCTTGGCTTTGTTCTTACTTGAGGTTCTACAAAAACTCAAAATTCGTTGCAGCCAATATAGTATGAAATATATAGTATCATAACAGCATTTTGCGTTAAATTTGTGAGCCCTGGGTCCGATTTTTAGGCTGGTATTTGTAAATCCCTAGACGCCCGGATAAAACAAAGAGTGCGAATCCTAATGATTATTTTTAGTTATACGAGAAAGTGCTGTACGAAAAGCGATTTATTTATTAGTTTTACTCCTTTTGTTCTTCTCTACTGCATATAAATTTGTATTATTTTTGAATAAATAAGTTTTCAGCTTCCTCATCAATCCATTCAAATCATAAAATTTTTAAGGAGTCTGCTGCTTGCGTCATAGAAATATAGGAACTGTCATGTGATTCTAATTTGCCACACACATTTCTTTTTGTACTACTACATCACTTACACAATCTAATTAGTTTCATTATCAATTAGCTGAATCATCCAAAAAGCTTATAAAGAAGCTACCATGGTTGGCCAAAGCTTTTTAATGAGTTCTAAGCAACTCGTGAACCAAGAGTTTCTTCCGATGGGTGAAATTTCGGACACGTTTAAGATTGCTTTGACTGTCAAGATGCAGTTTTTATATAAGTTTGCTTTTGTTTTTTAACGACTAGCTAATTTCTTTAGATTTCTTTTTTTTTGTCACCATTTTTGACAATAGGCACATAGTTATAGAAATGAACTATGTAACGAGGTACTTTTCTATAAAGAAATACTTTTTTTTTGTTTCCTCTAACAGTCAGGCAGGCTTACAAATATTTCATCATGGTCCCTCCATTGTCAGGTCACATGGAATTGTATTTTGCATGTTGTGATCTTGTCATGTAAATAAGGAACGAAACAAAAATAATTCATTTTCAATTGCATGATAATTATTTTTTTTTATTTGCTCAATGCCATGAAAGCATTATTTTTAGTTTTTTCACATTATTGCTCTCATTCTTTATGAAGAATTGTTCTCAACCTCATGTCCAGGGAGTCGTTGAATTTTAATCAAAATGTAACTATAGTTTTCTGCTAAATTTAATAAAGTTTTATTTCTACTTAAAGTGCAGTGTTCAACCAAACGAATGAACCGCTTTCTATTGACTCTCGAAATTCTTTTAAAAACATTTTATATAGTGGCTAATAGGAGAGAGTATTTCTTTGTTGCCAATCATACGAAAGATTGCTCACAAACTTAAGAGTCTGGCGGATTTTGAAATCTCCGTCTGCTTTTCTATCTCAAGATAATAAAATAAAAGGTAATGCCTACTGTACTTGACGCATAACTACTTTCAGAAGAAAATTTTATGATTAAATGTCTTAACTCTATTAAAGGTTTTTAATTCACAACTCTGTTTTTAAATATATTTTTTTTTGTATAGACTTTCGAGTTCTTAAAAAAGTATTAAAACCACTTTTTATCTGCTTTAAAAAATGCTGATAAGATTGCGGTTAAAAATTCTTTTTGTTCTTTCTTATTATGCGAATAAACCGAATGTCTCAAAAACGTTGAGACCGCCAAGTCCAAGTTATTCAGGCTATATTTCAAAACTAGCATTTTAAGCCTTAAATTTAGTAGGCCTGAAAAGAAGTAATTATGAGAATGCGTAAATAAAATTTTACATTTTTGTTGTAAATTAAACATTTCATATTTTGTAAAAACCTTATTTAAATATAAATAATGCATGACAAACTTTTACATTTGCATAATATTTAAAGGAAGTCTTGTCTACAACAACTAAGGTGGCGCGAATCTCGGGCATGTCTTAAAACATTCTCTTTTTATAACTCAGAATTATATGCAGAACTTCAATCGTTACCTGCTACAGGAACAATTTTGTCCAGTTACATAATCTAGTGTAAAAGTGCCATTCTCTCTACCTGGAAGCTTTTCTTTGAAAGAGGAAAAAATTTTAATTTAAATAAAATGCAGCACTGAATTTGTTCCAAGATAAATTATAAAGTTTTTAATTTGTGTTTAAAATTAGATTTTAAGTATACAAGTCACGCTTTCATCGATAAACATTATCAGAAAAACCCAGTGTTTCTTATTTTATTTAAGATTACTAATTTTCGTGTTTTTCTGCGGATGGTTGACTGAATGTAAGCAATAACAAGCTTCCTAAAACTAGAAGGAATTTAGAAAACGTCCGGTTTATCCCTCCGCTTAAGTTTCGCTTGCAAGGCGATGTGGAAACAGGCTTAATATTCCAGGTAGTTTTATTGTGGTTTGTGTTTAAATTTGCCCTTAATTTTACCATTCATAAAACTTTTCTGCAATTTATAAATTCCAACAGGTCTCGAGCCTAAAACAAATTTAACAAAATTAATATCTCGCCATAAATAAAGTGTAAGGTTTGCTATGTTTTTTGTGTTATCCCTTAGTTGGCTATATTTGTGTAAAATAGCCCCGTTTTTTAATTTTTGGGTAGCATCATAGCAAGCTTTCGGGGTCTTCCTAATTCATTTGCTGTTTGTTTTGTTGAAAGTTAAATTTAAAAAGCGTGTTATATTGAATACATTTGGATGACTGATTTTTGCAAGCTTGGGCGTAAAAATCAGTCGGAAATAGTAACCCAGAATTCGAATTTTTACCCCCCAGCGCCATCTGTGCTTAGCTTTACATGGTCAACCATCCAATTGATAACATTCTCTGCAGGGGGTTGAGAACTTCACATCACACTGATCTGTAATTATTTAAATATTGAAATTTAAGACTATAAATCAAAAATAATTCCAATAAACAAAGTGTCTAACACAATTGTGTAATGTTTAAATGTATTGATTTTTCTGTCAATAGGTTTTTTCTTTCTGCTGTTTTTATGTGCAATTGATGTTCAATAAAACTAATAATAGTAGAAAATTCATAGAAATAATTTATTTAATGCAACTTTATTTAGTCTCTTATCTTTTTCATTTAAAAATTGTTTATAATTTTTGAATAATTAAATTTAAAAAAATGTTTTAGCTCATGCTTTATTCTTTTGACTTACACCGGTATAATAGTATGTGAGCATTGAAAGTAGCATTAAGTTTAATTCTGTAAACATCAATTTCTGAAAATCTTATACAGAAAGTTAATGTGAATATAATTTGTATGATATTGTGAAAATAAATTGCTCCTGAAAAAAAAAGATACAATTTTTTGTATTGTGTTTTATTTCTTTCAACAAACATATATATAATGATTAATTTGTTAATATTTTTGACCTCTTCCTTTCTATGACATTAAACAATGTAGTTTTCCCCATCTAATGATATTGTTATCAAATTTCATGCTGTCTAGTAAAATTACTCGCACATTTTAACTATGGTTAAATTATTAAAATTTATCCTTATATACTCTCGATATATCAAAAGTTGAGATGCTAAAAAAGTTTCGAGATAAAAGTTCAGGACTAAATAAATTCTAAAAAGTAGATGAATATGTTCTAAGATAGTCTCTAGAAAGTAGAGTCATTAAAAACATAAAAATGACATCTAATAAATATGTATGTAATGATAGTTGACTAAAAGTCTAAATACAGTAATGATAATTTCATTTTTAACCTCTTAACGGACAGATTTTTCGAAGAAAAAAAAACGGCCAAAAAAAATCAGTCAATTCTTGATTATATTCGAGTATGAAAAATTATAGCGTAAAATAAAACGCTGCTCGAATTATCTCGAGAATGCACAGTTCGGCCTGTTTAGCGCTCTTGAATTAACTCGAGCACACAAGTTAAGGGGTTAAAAGTAAGACAAATATAATTATGCATTAAATAGAAAATAATATGTTTACAAACTTACATTGCGATTTTTCGAAAAAATTCATTTTCTATTTCGAAAAATATTCGACATAACAAGTTTTTGAAAAGAAGCTCTTCGACATGGCAATTCAAAATACCATTACTTGGATATGTAATGCCAGAGGGAAAAATGTTTTTTTTTGACATAACAAGGTTTTCGTGACGTTGAAATTCGAGATATCTAGAGTGTTTTTTATTCTTCAATTAATCTCTTCAAATTTGTATTTTTCAGAATTCACTTTTAATTAATTTTCATAATTAATTGATTTTTTAATTTTACCCATATTTTAATAATAAGAAAATTATTAAAATATGGGTAAATTGATTTCTATTGCATTTCAGAGAGTAAATAATACATTACTGAAAATTTTTAAGCATAATTGTTTACATTTTAAAAATTATTTAACCGGAATTATTTAAAACATATAATATTTATTTTTTATTAACGCTTATTACAACATATATTTTATAAATATATTATTGATGTCATCTTATGAACTAAATAAGCATTAAATAATAAATGGTACATTCCCAGATAGCAAAATAACGCTTATTTTAACTCAGCAAAATCATTTTAATGTAAACCTGAAAAGGTTTGTGATGCGGTTTACGTGTAAACCTTCTAACCTTAAAACGAGATCTGTGACTATCTGCTCTATTCTATGCTCATTACCCTAATCTAAAACCTTTGAAAACAACCTTCTATATAAAAACCTCAAATCGAGGTGAACTTAGGGTTTTCGAGAGTGAGAAAAATCCTTTAATAAAGGTAGTCTCAAGTTGAAAATAATTTTAAATCTGGGTAATAAGGGTTCTTTTTGCAAAGTCTCGTATGCTCAGCTAAAATCCACCTTGTCTTGAAATTTTAGTGGACAATGCAATTTGATCCTATCGCTAGAGTGACGTTAGCTAAAACGTCATGATGATCCTAAAAAACAATACTTCTTGAAAAAGCTTTAAAAAATAATTTTTAATCCTTTCAGGATGAAAGGTTTGAAAGTGTAATATTTTTGCTTTATTGAAAAAAGGTTTTTAGTACAAACATTTTCATGACAATAAAAGGAAAGTTTCGATACAAGGTTGTCGTAAGGTTACATGCTTTCTGGAATTATCATTAACAAATTCTTTTAAATTTGTAATTTTTATCATTAATAAATCTAATCTTATCTATGTAACATAAATTAAATATATATGTTATTTGCGATAGATATAATTGATGTTTCAAATGAAAATATGTTTTATTTAGTTATTAAAATAAAAATTTTGTTTTGTTTGATGTTTAAAGTAACAAATTTATTATTTAAAACCATAACCAAAGTCATTTTACTTCAAGAACAAGCATTGTTGTTGTTGTTGACGTATGCCTGTTTAGGCAGAGGGGTGCGATTGTTCTTGTTTTCCAGTGGCGCCATCTATGACTAAGAATTCGACTTCTGCCACACCATACGTCGCACCCGTTTATAGGGCGGACCCATTCATAATTCCATTCATTCATCCACAGATCGTAATTTTGACCTGAATCAGAGAACGATCTATCTCCAATCCAATACCCCCAGAGGTTTTGATTTGTTATGGGAACATGGAGGACTTTGTCGACTCGACAGATTTTAACGTGCATCAGTCACTTTACTACACGGGGAGTCTTATGCCGGCGGGGTTTGAACCCACGAACTCTCGGACATGGGTCCAACGCCCTACCAACCAGGCTATCCTGGCAGATCAAGCATTATCATGTGTGAATGTTTCCGGATAAAAAGTTAAGTGGTGGCATTAGGCAATAGGGTTTTCCATAAAAATGTTCCATTTATATTCAGGTTTTAATTTTAAAAAAACAGTTTGTATTTCTCTGTATGGCAATAAGATTCGCTAAATTGGATACTATTTTATCTTATTTATATTTAGCAATGAACTATTTTTTGAAAAACTGATTCAATTCACATGACACAAGACTCCTTAATATCTTAAACACTGCCTTTACGAAATAAATAAATATAAATAACTTGATTTTATGTCTAAAAAATTCTGCATAGTTATCAGATAAGAAAGTAAGGTGAAAAGAGTTAAATAGGAAGTAGTTTTGTTAGCTCATTATGCGCACTGTCACTTAAATAAAGCCGTTTAACTTACCTTTATTGTTTACATCTAAAATAAATATGAAAAGATGCTGAAAAATCATTGTGCCCTTTTAATTAAATACTAATGGTGAAATTAAAAAATATATGTGTCATAAATTTATGCTATTTTATTCAACAAAAAATTTATACTTATGTTGTTTATGATTATGCATTATATTTTTTCTGATTAAATTTCGTCAATCTCATTAAATTTCTTTCAATTTCTTTGAATATCTTTTCATTTGGGAAACCGATACATAGTTTTGATTTCAGTTTTAAATTTTAGAATGCTGAATAATACTAAAATTACGAACAAAAATCACTAAAAAAATTGAGCTCATACTTCTCCATATTGCTAAAGGATTTATGTGCCCATCCTTTACAGTTAAGGCACTGTATTCAACCTCTTTNGGTTAAATTTAGTAGGAACAACACAACCTGTGACGTAGGCTATATTATACCCAATGTTCCCTAATTTTTCTTTATTTGCAAACGACTAGAAATATAGTTCTGTAAATTTAATAGTTCTTAATTATTGTTAAATTTTTGATTTTAATAATATATACAACGTAGAAAGAAAAAAAATTGCGATCTACGCAAATAATATTATTGCTAATATATTGATAGTATTGCAACTTTGAGCAAAAAGTTATTGATTTAAGAAAGAACTAAACGATTTCAGGAAGAAAAAAAAATTTTTAATTTAAAGTATGGGGAATAAAACTAGATTGGATGATCTTAAAATTTTAAAATCGTGATAATCGTGTTAAAAACGTCGATATTTCACGGTATACTCCAATATTTTTTTTTACTTCGTTGCCCAGGGGAAATTTATCATTCATGATAATAAGGTATACCGTAAATTACCATTCTTGATAAAAATCGAGATATTATCGAATTCTATATTTATCGTAACACCTGGATTCACGATATATCAAATATACAAATTTCGATAATTAAAAAAATTGACGCTACATCGATCTTCTCTATTTGTGAATAGTTTTCCTATTATGACGCAAATAAAATAAAAATTTTAGCGATTGCGATTAGTCGATCAGCATAATAAATGAATGACGTACTTTAATATAAAATTAATGGCTCAATTTCCCTGGGTTTCCCGCAAATGACAGATGATCTAAAGAAAAGCGGATGAAGATAAAAAAAATACACGGTTTGCTGCTTTTTGCCTAGGAAACCAATAATATTCTGATCCGATTCAAATGAAGCTATTTACTGAAAAGTTATTAAGCAGTGTTTTCTGATGTATGTCAAACCATTCCAATTTTATTTTATTTTATAACTGGCTTTGAACAGTCGACCCAATTTTACGCTTACGTTTATCTATGTTTAACTCTCTGGCGTTGTAATTCTTTACCCACTCTAGAAGACAAAGGAACTTCTCGATCAAGCATTTGCACAATAAACCTTCTTGGAGAACTTTTTGGTGGAACTAACCCGCATTTGCTCTACATGGAGAGGGAAATCACGAAAGCGTCCCACGTTTAGCTCGACAGTAAGGGGAATTTAACCCGTGATCCGTCTACCATTCTGAGGATTATTTACGTCAGCACTGTGGTCGATGCTAGCCGGAAACAGAATTCGTATCGACCAGCGGCCATCGCTGGGATTCGAACCAGCACCTCATTGGAAGGCGAAGCGCCTCTGACCTATTGCGGCTTTAGACTGTTCCAATTCTGTATCGTTCTAATTTTAGTATATGTACTGCTGAAGCAAGTACGAAGACCATTCCAGAGCATTATGTCTCAGGGGATACTTCCGGTGAACTAGGTTCGAATCCCAGCGATAGCTGATCGATACGAATTTCGCATCCGGCTTGCACCGACCAAAATGCTGACGTGAAATATCCTCAGTGGTAGACGGATTATGGGTTAGAATCCCCTTGCCGTCAAGCTAACCGTGGGAGGTTCTCGTGGTCTTCCTCTCCATGTAACGCAAATGCTGGTTAGTTCCATGACTTTTAAAATCATAGTTTTACAGTTTTTCTTAGCAAAATCATTTGTATTATCTTATTCCATTTTTCTTTAATTGATTTTCCAAATCTTTTTCATTTGAGAACGCTCAAAAAAATTTCTTACAAAAATAATATTGAAAAAAAAATTACCTTATCTTGTGCGGGTATGAAAAGAGTAGGGAACCGTACAGGACTATGTTGACGATTTTCGACAGTGTAGGATTTTGTAAGGACATCAGGTGTTGGGGTTCCAGGTAACAATGGTAGACTTACGTTAGATTCCTTCTCTTTTGTATCAATTGTTTCCTATGAAATAATGTAAAAAATTGAAGTGCGAGTCTTAATTGTATTAGAGTGCTTAAAACGACACAATTTGAGTGCTTTAAACAATAAACAAACCTTTAATTTTAGACTATTTATTAACTTTAATTTCAGGACTTAGTACAAATAACTGTCTCGACTTTCAAAGGGATTATATATTTTAAAAATTTATTAATCAATTTTCAAGAAGTCATTAAATTCACACTTGAAGTAAAACTTTAATTTTTGACTATTTATTGACTTTGAAACTTTGACTTTGGGTTTTGGTGCAAACAACTGTCTCAACTTTAAAACGGATAATTTTTTTAATGTTTAAAAATTTGTTAAGTATTTTTTTTTTTTTTTAATTATCTCTAAATTTACACTTGAAGCAAAACTTTAATTTTAGACTATTTATTAACTTTAATATTAGATCATGGTGAAAAAAACTGTCTCAACTTTAAAATGTATAATCTTTTTTTTTTTTTTCAAAAAAATATTTAAAAATTTATTAAACATTTTTTAAAAAGTTGCTAAATTTGTACTTGATGCAAAGCTTTCATTTTAAACTATACTAACCAGCCATAAAAAATGATCTGACCATTAGAACGGAAAATCATTTTAATATTTTAAAAGTTATTAAAAAATCGCCGATTTGGCGAGATTTTTCCACATAGATTGAAATTCGCAAATTTCTCCGAGACCAGATAGTGCAGCGTTTAAGTAATTTTTAAAATATTAAAGAATTGATATCAAGCGCTTTTTATTTTCGCAATACAGTGGCTCTTTTCATTTTGGAATTTTGCTCCATTTTTAGAATTGACATTGAGAACGCTGGTTAAAGGTAATATTTTTTTATTACATATTATTATTATTTTGCAAGATTATTTTTATTTGTAATATATTCAGAAGTGTAAACATAAGTATGTACTCAGAGAATGTATGGTTAGTGATAAAATCTAATTTATCTCTCGGTTAAAAAGATCTTTTATCATAAGCTTTATCACGTTTTGGAGCTACAAATAAAGAACAATTAAATGAATTTTGAAAACTAAACGAACTTTTTACAATCCAAATGAATGATTAACACCCTAAAATGGCGTGTCCCCCCTATCGCAAATTTTAAATGCAAAATTCTGCTTTCAGGAATTAAATTATACCGAATTACTCAATATGATTTAGTTTTTTTGAATCTTTACAGTTATGTATGGTTTAAAAAATGCGTTTATCTAATGTTTAGTTCATAAAAATAAAAAATAAAAACTCTTATTAGCATTCATGTTCGATGTTAAGCAGATAATAGTTTTTAACGAATAAAACTTTAACATCATGAAAATTTGTGTGAGCTCAGATAATGCAGTATTGGAATAAGTTTTTAAACATTAAAGAATTAAACCTCAAACGTTTTGCATTCTCTCAAAACTGTGGCTTCCACATAGGCATTTCGCGTCATTATTAGAATTAGCATAGAAGCACTGATAAGTCACTTAACCTAACAGTCATAAATAATTGGTACAAACTCACAACAGTTATGAAAATAGCCTATTATTCTCACAAAAGTATCCTTTCAGTATTTCTTGAGGTTAGGTTTAAATCGAATAAACAGAAATGAAATGCACAACTTCATGAAGCGCAGGGTATTACGCAAACCCAGTGTCATTCTTTAAAAAGTACAATTAACAAAGTAGAATTCTAGATTTAACATACTTATGTAGATAGTTTAACAGTGTATGGATACTTACTTCTGTTGAAATGGAGTGTTTGATTTCATCCTTAGGATTCATCTCTGGATTACTTGGAGTTTTATTTTCTTTACCCTTTCTCTTGTCTTCATTCTCTTCCATAACTTTTTCTTTTTTCTGTAAGAAATGTGCGAAAAAATAAAAATGTAGTTTAATGTCATCAAGAGGGAGCTATATCACGGGAAAACCTTTTCATAGCAAATTACTATTCATGACGTAAGTTAGAATAATAATTAACGATAAGTCAGTTAAATACAGCGCCATATCACACATTGAATTCGTTGAAATATAATTCTTTCTCGTCTGCTTCTTTTACTTAACATAGATTTATTATTTTATGATAACACGCGATTTATTTTTGATTTTTGTACCTGGCAACTTCGATGGATAATTAGTTTGTTTATGTTCCACATGGCTTCATGCCTGTCTTTGTAATAAGTCTCTGTTTAAATATATAGTGAAAGAATTGAAAATTTGAGAAAGAATCTTTGTTAAAGAATTTAGAATGTGCCACTTAAGAGAATTGATACCTTCGGGCTTAGCTTACTCGAAATAGAATGGAAAGAACAATTGCTAACGTAAATAAATGCCACGTTTCAACAACCAATCAGGATCTACATACCCAAACTACGTCACTTGCAGGTATCCCAATGAAATTTAAATTCTAATTTAGTTATGGAGGTGAAACCGAATGTGCGATGAAAAGTTTCTCTCGTCTTATACCTTCCTTCTAAAAGAGTTATTGCTTGTTATTAATGGAAAGCGGGTTTATACGTATGTAAGCTAATTAATTTGTACAGATGTTACGAAGTCGCGAAATTAAAAGCGTGTGTTACCTATTTTGCTTCACATTTGGAATTTGATATTTAAAACATGCCTTCCCTTAGTCCCATGAGAAATTGTGGGCGACAATTTGTCGCCTCGATGAATTGTGAACGACGAACTAACGCAGAACCCAAAATAACTACATCTTAGTACATGAGAACACGATCATTAGATCAAAAGTTATAAAGCTATTTTTTTATTGAACACAGAACAAATGTTCCTAATCTTTCCTTATAAAAATTTGTTCGCTGTAATATCATACTGTATGGAAAAAAATACTCACTCTAATATATCACAAGAACAATAACAAAAAAAAGGCCTTTAAGGATAAAGTCGTCTCTCAGACGAACATTTTGTTTATTTCCGAGGACAATTTCGGGAAACACCAAAGAGAAATTTCTAAGAAAAAGTAAAGTAAAATGACAAACGAAGATATAAATTATTCCAATGGGATTAGGAAATGTGACCTATTATGGGCATATAAGACAATCTGGTTTCTTTTCATTTGAAATATGAATTAAATCTGACATCAATTTCAAAAAATCACGTCATCGTTTTAAAATAGATCCTTACAAAAAAAATATATCTATATTAGAATCATAAGATTTTTTTTTTAGTTTCAATTTAACATAATTTTAGTTTATTTTTCTTCCGTTTCGTCCTGTCCTTAATTCATGATTTTAATTTTCATATTTATTAAAAAACGCATTTAGTAAATATGTATCTATCCTTGAAATATCTTAGTACCAAATGAGAATAAATACAAATAATTTTATTCATATTAAAGAAAATGTGTTTAATTAAGTTTTCTAATTTTCCTTTCGTCGTAGTAATATTAATTAAAAGAGTATGAACTTAATTAAACCATGTTGGGGTAGGCATGGAAGACAATAGTTCCATTCTCCAGTTGCTAACGAATAAATCGATTCCGAACATTTCCTACTACGTTTCCTAAATCGTCCGCTTTAGAAAGCAGTAGATTAGAAAAAAATACCAGTTAAATAATCCTTGTTAATATACAAAATATTAATAAATATTTACTACAATTTTTTATTATTTTACAGCTCTTTTTTAAACCTTTTTCATGTCATGCCTTTATTTCTCGTTTCTAAATTGTTCTTTTTTTTCTCAGGAACTATTTGACTGATTTGTTTTTACATAAAATTACTTTTGCAACATTCATAGGAAGTTTGTTTTTTGTTACCGATTTCGTGAATTAATTTAAGTTAAAAATTGATTAATTAATACACCTGAAATGTTCTCTTAAAAATTATCGTAAAAATTGTGATCATGCCCTCTGTATAAAAAATCCGATCGAATCATTCTCTTTATTTCAAGAAAAAAAAAAGAACATTTAAGAAAGGGAAAGCAAGAAAAAATTTAAATTGTAAGATAAATATATAAGTATCACTAATAAGTAGTAATAATAGTAAGTTATTATTCCTATTTCAGTAAAACTTATTTAAAAGATTATGAAATCTACGAAGATTTTCTGAAAAATCATTAGGGTGTTCAACATACCACAGAACCCTGTGCGCACAGATATGCAAACAATATATATTTCTCACCCATAGTTTTGCTCAACTTTGCCAGTTTTTATCGTTGTGATTTGTGTTTATGTACCTCGAACTTACTGAACATAAACAATGCATGTTTTTCTCCCTGTTTCATTAATCCTTTGAAACAAGGGTGAAGGCAGAATTTTTATTAAACATATCTTAACAAACAGCATTTTAATAATTTATAGTTATTATGAAACACCGGTGTCTTAAGGTCAAGCCTTCCAAACACGACTCACTTCCAAAGAATAATATTTCAGATTTGCAGTTATTTAGATCGAAGAGAAGCAGTTATTCATCAATGAAATTTCTTTCATATACAAAATAGATTGTTGATAAACTTTTGAATATAAGTGCAAAAATTAATTTTTTTTTTCAAACTAATTTGTTTGGATTTTATAAATGAGCAAAATTCCCGATAATCTTAATGTTTTTTTTTTGTTTGTTTGTTATTGTTAGACCACTTAAAAAATACTAAAATATATATTTGTTTGTAATTAAATTAAAGCGTCAGAAAAAAATATATAAATGGGACACTGGTGTCCCATGTGCGTCAAAAAAAACAAAAAAAACTTTACGAACTTAAAAAACTTAAAAAAACGAAACGAACAACAAACAAAATTATTTTAAAAACCTGAACTGAGGTACATTGGATTTTATCTATACAATTTAAAGTGAAATATGCACGTAACACAAGAATTGTAAATACTTAATTAGCACAAATAAAACACTGTTTTTAAAATTGCCCATGCATAAAACATTTGACTACAAAGCTGGCAAATCCTGTTTATAAACACTAAACTTCACAAGCATAGACAACAGGGAGCTTAACTATTTGAAGGCGTTTCTTTTATTGAAATTCTGTCTGTTTCACAGAAGGCGTCTTCTTAGAATTTTTCTGTTGTTTCTTTTATCGAATAAAGAATATGAAAGAAAGAGCTCAAACGATAAACAATGCGTATTGTTTTGTACATCCAAACGACGTTAAAGAAAACAAAGGATGCCAGACCCATGATAAAAATTGCAGGTCTTTACATTATATCAGATAAAAATAAAGAAAAAGTCAATAATCATAGAAAATTACTATCAGACTTTTACACAAGTTTAGTCAATCTTTAAACAACATGAAAAGATAAAATTCGCTTGCTCGATATAATCTATTTTATTAGTGAATTGGACAAAACTAGTCAAAAGTTGGGTTTATTTTCTGGCAGACCTTGGGTCAATATGAAGATTAAAAAAATATATATTATTTCGATACTATTTATTTAAATCTAGGAAAGAAGTGTTTAAAATTGGTCAAAAACAAGTTAAAGGTTACGTTTTATTTATTTATTTTTCCAAGCATTGTAAAACAAGGGCCTTGTGTCAATATGGTGATAAGCCCCATGTAATGGATAAAGTTAATTCATTCGATAATTTTTATTTTATAGAGGAAAGAATTGTATTAAATTGGTCAAAAACTTGTCAAAAGTGCGTTTATTTCCTGCCATTTTAAATTGTGTGCCAATTTCACGATAAGCCCCATTTTCGAACTGTTTTTTTTCTTTTTTTTTTTTTTTTCTTCTTCTGTGCATTGTACCGTTATTGTGATGAAATTCCCGAAACATGCGAAGCATGTGTATCAGGAAACAGAACTAAGGAACAGTTTTATGTAATAACAATACTTGTTGGATAAGATTTGTTTTCAAATTTATTTACATCTCAGCCTAGAAAAGCTCTATTAACAAACATAGATTATCTGATTTGGATGAAAATCATAAATTGAAGCAAAAATTTGTAGCAATTTTTGCCCGTTATTGCAATTATGTTACCAAAGTATATTAAACAATTTAGAGGGAGGGGGGGAATTACTACTTAGAAAAAAATTATCTTTTAAAAAAACTGAAAACATTCCATTAATTTTTGAATGCCTACTAAGGGCCTATAATGATCAACATTCAATTTCGTGAGGCATTGATACTTTCCAAATGAGGTAGCAACTCAAATTTTTTTGTGATTTTTTAATCACTCAGTAATAAGTTATTAAAAAGTTAAGTTATTTTTCCAAAATTATTTTTTAATACTTGTTCTTTTTTAAGGCAGAAAAAAAATCTCACGAGTTGTTTTACATCTTTTCAATGACAGTGGTTTAAATAATAAACTGATGTTACATATGCCAAAATTAAATATCAAAATTATGCGTCAAAATAATATAATATTGAGTCAAAATTGTATTGACTTATAAAGTTCATTGTATTTATAACCTTTTTTTATTTTTTTAAATCTTAATCATCATTTAACTTTTTTTTAGTAGCAGCCCCTCGCTATGGTAATTGTAATTATAACTGATTCTTAACACATTGAAAGAATAAAAAAAAATTTAAAAAAATTCGAGAAGTGAGGAAAAAAAATCAGGATTTCGGAAAATATCAGAAGATCGGAGAATTTTTGTTTATAATCGATTAGAGAATCTGTATTCCGTAGATTAGAACTGTAGCAATAAAATATTGAAAAAACTCTAAAAAGGGTAGAGAAACAAAAAATTCGTTATATATTAGTAGATCAGCGAATCGGTGTTTAGAGAATCAGTGAATCAGTTTCTTAGAGAATTAGTGAATTGGTGTTTTAGTAAATTCAAGAGTCACTGAATGAGAATGAAATTATAGGTGAATAAAACAAGAAAAAAATTCGAAAGAAAGGGAAGAGAATCAGTAATTCAGCGTATATTGGAAGATCAGTAAATCATTGTTT